GGTCTAGCACCTCTTGCTGGTGGTGGAGGGGGAGCACCTCTGGCAGCACGAGGAGGTGGTGGAGGTGGAGCACCCGTTCTCTGAGGAGCCATTGAGCCGCCAGTAGGGTTAGCTCTTGGAGGTGGAGGTGGAGGAACACCGCCTCTTGGAGGAGGAGCGGGGGGATTGCCTCTCGCTGGGGGAGGAGGTGGATTGCCCCTTGCGGGTAGAGCACCTGGGCCAGAAGCGCTGTTATTGCGTCCTGGAGGAGGTGGAGGAGGCTGTATACCCTGGACAGGTTGACCATACAGCGAGGAGTGGGCACCGAAGAGAGGGGGCCGCAGCGATTGACCCAGTCCACTGTTTTGTTGGGTGATTCCCGGAGCAGGCGTGTTATACTCCATCTGGTTGGGGACGGTGTTATGGGGAAGTTGTGGGATAGGAGCCGTTGCAGGTGGGACCCTGAATCTGTTTTCTGGAACAGCAGCGAAAGGAGCCGACCCGTCTGAGCTCTGCGTATGTTGAGGAGTAAGCTCGTTTGGCGTGCTGAGATGTGTAGATGTGGGAGTGATTTCAGGCGGCGTCTGGGAAGGTGCACTGGCTGGAGGAGGTGGAGGAGGAGCTTTTTTGTTCTTTTTCGATGGAACCGGTGGACGGTCGTTATAGCTCTGCTGGTCGTCAAAGACGTTCTGTGGCGCAGTGTGTTTCCTGGGAATGGGCGGCTCGAGACCAACCAAGGGTCCACCCTGTTTGGCGATGTAGTCCTTGATGAACTCTCTGTTCTCGGCAATCATGTCCTCTGTGATACCTGCGGAGGCCAATTCCGCGTACAACAGACGCCACTCTGGCGGAGGCTGGTCGTCGTAGTAGAGCACACCTCTGGTTCTTCTCATTCTCTGGTCGGATTGGACATTGACGTACTCACCTCTGGGTCCGATCTTGGCGGCCTCAGGAGCCAATTGGCCCTTCAATGCAATGGCGTTCTTGTTTTTCAGGGTATCCTTCGACGCATACTTCTGTCTGTTGGATACACGCTTGAAGAAGTGGGCAGCATCGCTGGTGTCCTCAAATAGGAGCCCCACAAGGCAGTCTTCGATCTCGAAAGTGTGGAAGAACTTTCTATCCTGGTGGTACTCAAAGTTGACGTAGAGCTCCTGGTCCCACACAACACCCTTGGTGCCCAAGATGTCCACGAGCTTAAGAAAAAACGTGTGTCCCACCAAATCATCCACCAAGGCTATGGCACCAACGAGACCGGTGTATGTCCATTCGTTCGGGTCTGGATGCGCTATATAGAGTCTGGCGACGGTGGCGTCGATGATCTTATTCGACGCCTTGGGCACGGCACGCTTGACTTTTTCCTTGTCTGCCGTTGTGAGTATACCCATGCTGTGGTAGTTGGTTATCTAAGGTAGTAGTGAGGTGTTGAGATTTGGGTGCACTACGCAGCAACACCGATCCGGTGGGACACTTCTGGCGTTTTGATTTTTTGGGGGAGGGTGATACAGGTTTCTTTTTTTATAATGATTGATTTGTTTACTGATTTTGAGATTTTTTAGTTCTTTCGCTTGATGTGGTGGTCTTCGATGTTATCTGCGCCTAGGTTCGGCTTTTGGCTTGCACCTATGGATGAGACATTGCGATACCAAGAAGCTGGAGGTATTGTCCAATACTCAAGAAAAGATTGAAGTAAAAGTTCGGGAATCGTTCGAAACGACGATATGTCTCTCCTCTTGTTTCGTTACAGCCCGCTTTCCACCACCTACACTTTCCTCACACACCTCTAATTACAAACTATTAACTATTCTATCACCTCGCTCAGCTCTTGCTGGAAACAGCCTTGGGCTTGTGCACATGGCCGTTGTGGATTTCGGGAGCAGCCACTTTGGGCTCCTCCTCAGGAGCATCAGGCTCGTCAAAGGCAATCCACAGCTCGAAGCCGTCGACAAACTCATTCTGCAATGCCTTCTCCACCTTGAAAAGGTTCTTCTCCTTCGTGAGCTTCTCGTAGACCTTGTACTCCTCGTCATTGAGCAAGCACGAGTCGAGCTCCTTGGTGATGGCTTCCACATCGATGCTCAAACCAATGAACACAATCTCGTTTCTACGATCACCGAATCTGCCTTGCATGTCTCTATCAATAAGGGCCTGGGCCTCAGGTGGGTAGAATTCTTTACCGGCAACAGCAAACCATGGAATGCCTCCACGCATAGTAAGCATAGGACCAGCAGAGGACCATTCACCACGGATGATGTGACGGGAAGCAAGCCAGAAGAAACCCTTGGAACGGAGGACTGGGCCGAATTTGGAGTGCTTCTTGTTCTTGATGATCTGTTCTTCAGAGGGGTCGGAGTAGTTTTCTTCGTCGCCGTCGATCTCGTCTTCGTCGATCTCTTCTTCTTCTTCCTCCTCCTCTTCGCTTTCTTCCTCTTCTTCGTCTTCACCTTCACCTTCACCTTCGTTGTTTTCATCGGCGAGTCCAGACAGCTCAATCACCACAAACTTGTCCCTGATAAGCTTGTAGAGTCTCTCTGGGTGGAATGGACGTCTGGATTTGTAGACGAAGTTGTTGATACCGTACTCCTCGGTCTCGGGCTTGGGTGTAAGCTTGTTGCCAAAGGCCTCTCTCTTGGTCATTTCGTGAAGACTCTGCAACCAACCAGCAGAAGAAGAGGCCTTCTCGAAATCGAACAATCCGGTACCAACAACGTCCTTGACATCAACACGGCTGTAGTTGGTTCTGTAGACCTTGGCAACAGGGTTAAGCGACTTGATGGTCTTGAAGATCTTCTTCTTTTGCTTCTTGTTCACCAAGTCAATTTTGTTGACAATGATGACATCGGCAAATTCGATTTGGTCCACCATAAGGTCACAGATGGTTCTTTCTTCTTCATTCTGGCCAGTGGAGCCAAAACGGTCAACAAGAAATTCGGTAGTTTCCAAGTTGTGGTAGAAGTTCTTACCGTCAATGACAGTGACACAGGTATCAAGCTTGGCAACCTTTTCAAGACCACCCAAGTCCTTGATTTCCTTCAAAATCTTTTCGTCCTCTTTAGTAATACCTTCTTGGTTGTCAAGGTACATGTTAGTGAATTCAGTGGTGAAAGTTTCGGCCACTTGCATAGGCTCGGAAATACCAGTGGACTCAATAACAATATATTCGAAAGCATCATCCTTGGCAAGAGCAACCAACTCCTCCAAAAGATCACCTCTCAAGGTGCAACAGATACAGCCGTTCTGAAGCTGCACCAATTTTTCCTCCTTCTGAGAAACACGGTGGTTTTGCACCAAGTCGGCATCAATGTTCAACTGGGACATATCATTGATGATAACGGCAATCTTAAGACCATGGTCCTTGGTAAGAATGTGTTCCAAAAGAGTGGTCTTTCCCGATCCCAAAAAGCCCGAGAGCAAAGTAACTGGGATGGGGTTCTTGATGGACTTCGAAGACTTCTTAGCCATGATAGAGAAAAATTAATAATTTTGAAAAATTCCTAATTGAGCCCAGGACCAAGGGTATTTATTTCACTACAATAGCCGAATTTTTCATTGAAAACGGGCTACAGGCGGCAGCACACTTCTTTACCGCTGTGGTTATTTGATGCAAGAGCAGCGGGCCAAAACGGTTCGAGAAGCACACTTTGAGGAGATTTGCAATTGTGATTTCCCCTTAGAATGCCTTTTTTGCAGCCAGATAACCTTCGAGGTGCATTATTTGATTCTGCGAGCATCTCATTGGCCCCCGCTCTGCCATGCGATAACCACCACGGTGACCCCTCTGTGCCCCGGCCTAAATACACCCTGCGTTCCTGGATCCAGCTTCTCCCAATTGGCGCCTTCGGATTTGACAACCGCCGTTTTACTGAGGCTCTTAACTATGGCTGTTGAAATGGCTGCGAATTGACAGTGGTGGTCTAGGAGCTACAAGGGTACATCTTGAGGAATCGAAAATCAGTTTTCGACAAACTTTTCCAATTTTGCCTTCGCTACCTGCAAGTGACTTTATAACGCCACTATGGATTGCTCGATAGGGATTCTGATAACCACAACAGAATGTGGACCGCTGCGGTATTGCTGCAGGCGCGAATTTTTGACATGCGACTGACAAAAAAAAAAAAAAAAAAAGGAGCTCATCACCAAAGTACTACACAATGTCTGGACGCCAGGGTGGTAAGGCCAAGCCTTTGAAGGCACCAAAGAAGAAAAACCAGGATTTTGACGAGGAGGATCTCGCTTTCAAGGCTAAGCAGAAGGCTGACGCTGCTGCGAAGAAGAAGTTGGCTGAGCAGGCCAAGAAGGGTGGCCCCATGGTTGGAGGCGGCATCAAGAAGAGCGGCAAAAAGTGATGTAGACAAATAGACGCGTGACGTAAGAGATAACTGTAGGGCTGTAAAATTGAATTGTTTGAAGAGTTTGAAAAGTGAAAAAAAAATTTGCGACCTCGGTGAGGGTCGAACTCACGATCTTAAGATTAACAGTCTTACGCCTTAACCAACTTGGCCACGAAGTCTTGCTGGGGTACTTGGCGAAGCAGGTAATATATGAGCAAGTGGTGGAAGATCCAGAATCAATAGAATTTTCTGTAAAGGAGGGGAATCCATTTTTTGTATTCCAAAAAGTGGATTGTGAGACGTACAGAGGCTAAAAACCCGAATTGACGGAGTTTGCAAATATCTCGGGAACGGGTTGAGTTTATCAAAATCTAACATAACCAGTGGATAGAGGGTAGTCAAAAGTATAGATCGAAAGCTTTTTGGGGGTACAATATTGGTGGTGGGCGCAGATGATTGGTAATCCAGTCATTCTCACACTGAGAATCACAAAAAGATGCTATCAACGAACGAGCTCAAAAAGGAAAATCGGCAGATATAACTGACCTAAAAAACCCAATTGACCCATGATTAGAAAGTCGTCTTAAGTTTCCTATTCCGTCCCTGAGACACTACGACTGTCTTTCAATTTTATTTATTTTTTTTCTACTTTTTAAAATTTTTTTAATAAAGAGCCAGCCCAGAAAAGGACTAGCGGACCCGGGAAGGTCGAAGGCTGCGCAAGAAACTCACAAGACGATGCTTCTTGGAGAGCTTTCTCGAAGACTTCTTCGGCTTCGAAGTCTTCTTCAGGCTCTTACGCTCCAATTGCGGAACATAGTCTTCCCTTGTCCAGGTCCTGTAGAAACTGTGAAAGTCTCTAGGGAGAAAGAACTTCCTAGCTCCGAGATTGTGGTTGGCACCTTCTGTGGTACCAGCATGGCGTGGCGATCCAGGGTGACAATTCTCGGAAAGAAGCTTCTCGAAATGTGGAAAATCTCCAGGCATGAAGAAGGAGGGCTGTGTCTCCTTGAGGGAGTCCTCAAACCTGTAGAAATCCTTGGGAAGGTAAGTACGGGAGCACTTGGGGTAGATGGTTTCAACGTACTTGAAAAAGTCACGAGGAAGGTACTCGAGTGCCTGCTCGTCGTTGGTGTACTCCTTGTACTTGTAGAAGTCGATGGGAAGGAAGCTTTCGGGGCTTTCTTCACGGAAGATTTCCTTGAACTTGTAAAAGTCAATGGGGAGGAAATTCTTCTGGCGACTTTCGCTGAAAATCTCCTTGAACTTGTAGAAGTTGCAAGGAAGGAAAGTAACCTTTTGATTTTCGCTGAGCATTTCCTTGTATTTGTAGAAGTTACAAGGAAGGAAGGTCTGCTTTTGATGCTCGCTCAACATTTCCTTGAACTTGTAGAAATTACAAGGAAGGAGAGTTTCCTTTTGATCCTCATTGAAAATGTCCTTGAACTTATAGAAGTCACAAGGAAGGAAGGTTTCCTTCTCATGCTCGCTGAGCATTTCCTTGAACTTATAGAAGTTACAAGGAAGGAAGCACTCCTCTTGGTCCTCGTTGAAAATTTCCTTGAATTTGTAGAAATCACAAGGAAGGAATGCTTCGTGCTGCTTCTCACTGGTAGCGTGTCTGAAGCATGGGAAGTCACCAGGCAAGAATTGGGGTCCTTGCTTGTAGAGAATCTGCAAAAACCCTTTAGGACCTTGGTCCACAGAAAAAGAGGGCGCAGTTCTTGGTTTCTCTACCGCTCTTGAAGCAGAGAGCTTCTTGGCAGAGGCAACTTGCTTTGCAAAATGCTCCGAAAGATCAATATTCTGAGCCTTTGATGGAGGCATCTTGCCGAATAACCTCATGTCAGCTATCAAGACGGCACGAGTAGAAGTGACGCCAGAATAGGCAAGGTCAAAAGTGTCAAAGTCATGCCATCTCGCTAAGTTTACGAGCTTCATTTCGTAGATGGCTTGTGCCTTGAACTTCAGGTCGTAACTATGATAAGCATGGAACCAGTGGAAGAAGAAGTACTTGAACTGGTTAGGTTCCCAACTAAAGGAGAAGGGAAGGCCTCCGGTGTGCCTTGCGTAAAAGTGGGGGACTCCGTTGAATGCTTGAATAACGAGGTCGGTGACGTCCTTGGGGATCCAAGTGGCGTGGATGTTGAAACAGTTCTTGCACATTTTTGTTATCTCTTAATTGCTTGTGGTGGGTGTTGATGAAGAAAAAAAAACTCTGGGAGAAACGGTTTCTACTTATAGACCTAAGGGCAGGCTCTAGTCTCGAAATGAATGACATGGTTTCCAATAGTATTTGGCATGGGTCATCAAAGTTGGTGATATATTTGAAAAGAGGTAAGTCGTCCACATGAGGGAGGCAAGGATAAGGTTAATGCATGGTCTTAGTTTAAGAGTTGCCTAAAATCTGGGGTACTTGAAAATTATGGTCACCCAATATGGGTAGTTTCGAGGTGTTGATGCGACAGAGGAAAGTGCAACACCTACTGCGTCACACCAGGCAGTCAAGACCCCATGATATGGACGGAAAGAGAAGAAAAATTGCGTTGTTAGAAGAAAGAAGAATTTACCGGATTCGACTTTTTCGGATGTCAGCCCATGATTGTCATTCATGGGAGTCGAATTTTTCCAAGGTGATGAACACATGAAGACTTTGGGACAGAGAAATTTGAGCAATTGTTGAAGATTAAGTAGAAAAATGAGAAGGAAAGTCGATCGACTATTAGCAATATTGCCAGGACTGTCTTGGAAATCTATGACAAGCTCGTAAAATGAAGCAGTGTCGCAGAAGAGGCAAACATCAAAACTGAAGACGCTCACCAACAGCAGAAGCATCGTAGATTAATCAACCACAAGTAATTGATATCCATCTCCTTTTCCAAATTCACCCAAACTTCCACCTTGCAGCTCCTCTGGTCTTGACATTTTGCAACCACTATTGGTGCGCACACGCACACGCTAGAAAAAAAGTTGATCTTGAGCGAAGGTGTATCAAACCCATCATGCCAGCTTTGAAAAAGTTCGATGCCAACGTGGCTCGCCACGTGAAGCTGATGAACAAGAACCTCTGTGCTAATTTGATACGCCATGAGTACATCGTCACGGGCAGAACGAAAGCCAAGAGAGCACAGGCCAAGATTGAGTCTTTCCTAAGCCAGGCCTTACAGGAAGAGAGACAGATGGCCAACATCCCCTTGGAGCAGAGATTCAAGCTCAACAGGGCCTTGAACTACTTGCAGCCCGCAGATAAGCAGGAGGTCGGCACCAAGGTGCTTGAAGAGCTCAGCAAGAGATACACGGATAGAACGCATGGATTCACGAGAGTTACCAAGTTGGAGCCCAGACTTGGCGAGGACAAGGCGCCTATGGCAATTTTGGAGCTCGTGGACTCCGACTTTGAGATCAAGTTCTGGTACATCGCCAAGACGGTGGCCAGATTGGAGTTGCAAGGCTTGAAGGTGGACCCCTTGACACAGCACAACGTCGAGAAATTGACGCAACTAAGGAAAGACGGCGAGGCCAAGTTCAGGGACGCTGTGGACCAGTGCAAACAGAGATTCTTCAACTACGACCTCGAACTGGCTTCCGTCCAGGAAGGCTCTGTGGAGGCCAACTTGCAGAACAAGCCTGCCGATGGAGAGGTCCAGGCAGGCACAAAGGCGCCTTGGGCCACCAAGTCGAGGCTCAATACCAAGCCCAGAGCAGAAAAGAAGAAGGTGGATCTCCCCAAATCTCCATTTTTGGCATAGACCGGCCCGCCACGTGCCGCAGTGTAAATAGCATCAAGGACATACTCCTCCAGGACCAGATTGGGACAATATCAGCAGCCAGTGTAGTGGAAAATGCGTTTTGCGCTCGTAGATACCCCCCATTTTCCGAAACCAAAACGGTTTTATCGAGGCCTGCGTGCCCTAGTCGCGATCGCACAGTGTACTATTTTGCAATGTGGTGGTCCAAGTCTCATTTCAAGCCCGCTGGGAAGTATGCCTTGGTGGTTGGAGGTTCCCAAGGTATTGGAGCTGACATCGCCTTCAGACTCTACGAACAAGGATGTTCCGTTTTGTTGGTTGCAAGAACCAGAGCCAAGCTCGAGAAGCAGGTGGACCATATAGTTAAGAACGCAGACAGATCGCTGGATCACGGCTTGAAGCCCACATGCGAGTACTTGACGTGTGACGCTGCGGATTATGATGAAACGGCCGAATTGTGGAAGGTGCTCGTACAAGAAAAAGAGGTGGACCCTGACTTCATCTTCTGCTGTGCTGGTTCTTCAGTACCCAAGCTCTTTGCAGACCTTCTGGGCAAGGAGCTCAAACAGGGGATGGATGTGAACTACTTTTCTGCTTTGAACGTCGTTCATTGTGGCCACAAGGCGACACTTAACAAGGAAAGAAAGCCCAGGCACATTGTGCTTTTTTCATCCACAGTGGCCTCGTTTCCCTTCATAGGCTACGGACAGTACGCTCCTACCAAAGCGGCCATTCTGACGCTTTCGATGGTCTTGCGCCAGGAATTGAGCAATTTCAACTACAGAGTGACCTGTGTCTTCCCTGGCAGTTTCGCCAGTGAGGGCTACGAGGAGGAGGAGAAGACGAAACCCAAAATCACAAAACAGATCGAAGGCGCAAGCCCCGCCATTCCTTCCATGGAGTGCTGTGATTTGGTGCTCGACAGGTTGGCCAAGGGCTACGACGCCATCTACACCGATGCCATTGGCTGGCTTTTAGGGTGCATGGTCTTGTCGGTTCAGCCCCGGTGCTGGAGCTTTTTCCAGGTGCTTGTGGCGCTTGTCCTCCTGGCAATCGTGCCGTTGCTCATGTGGTTTATCAACCTCGACGTCAAGAAGTTCTGGAAAGAGAAGGAGCAGGCGGAAGATGCTCCATCCGAGTAGTTCTACCGCGCTAGCAGTCGAATCTGTGTGTATTTTTATGCTATGTATCACTTGCCCTCTTTGCCCGCCTCGGCGATGCTCTTGGTCAACTTGTCCGTCAACTTGTTCAATTTGCGGTCAGCATCAAGCCCCCACTGGTACCAGTTGATCGAGTAGACCCAGTTGACGCCCTTGATCAACTCCTCGTTCCAGTAGTCCTTGCAAGTTTCCAGGAACGAAGGCCTCGTCAATTGCGTCACTCTTCTGTTGGGCGGCTGTGGGTTCTTCTCGATACCCTTGTCTGAAAGAATTCTGTTGTCGATCTGGTCCTTGGCCTCCTGGAGGCCGGTGGAAACAAACATCAACGGCATTGTCATAACCGGCTCAGCTATGGTCCATGCAATTCCCGAGACGGTCACGCCGGCCAAAAAGCCGATGATTCTTCCTCCCATGCTGTTGGTGGTCTCTGTAGAAGGTGTTTATTGGATGTGATTGGGCACACACAGGACCCGCGGGTTGCTTACTGGAGGTTGTGGTGGATCAGTTGAGGGACCGAGCCGGGGAGGTTTTGTTAGGTTTCGAAGCTGATTGGAGGGTATTTTGGGGGTTGAAGTTTGACAATATTGGTAGTTTTGGGTTTTCGTAGTTGGGTGGGTGGTGATGGATTATCGTGGCTGCAAAATGAGCCTGCGCCAGTGGAGGAATTGAACTGGCAAATGGATGGTGTCGAGCTTTTGATGTAATTCTGGCGAGAATATTGAAGAATGAAATTGGAACCAAGCTTTGATGGAAAAAACGGTTTTGTTGTATGAAAAGATTGTGATGCGCAGCGTAGATGGTAGCTTGGTTGCAAAATTGTGCAACCACCGAGCATCTTTAAAACTTTGCAAACGGAAAAAATAGCCTTATTTTAAAAATTTTTTTTTTAATGGTTTTATTGAGTTCATTATTTTCCTCGAAATTCGACAACTGTCGTCTTTGAAGTCCCAAAACACCTAAACAACGACATTCACTCGTCTGACCTCTGAGACACCCATAGTTAGCCCTCGAGCTCCACACTTCCACAAGACCTCTCACCTCACCTGCTTACTAAAGAGCAACTGTGGTTTTGTCAAACCTAAAGGCTAAGGCACTCTCGTGTATGCCATGTAGATGGCGATATCTTGCGGCAAAAGTTGCATTAATAAACACCCTGTAACAACTGTGCCACAAAACTTGTTGCTTCCCTACTTTGCTTATCTACGCTTTAGTCAGGAGTGATCGGAAGATCTCTGTGGTCTGGCGTCCTGGCAGTGCGGCAGTAGAATGGGCTATATTCGTTGCCAAGTCCGTGTCTTATCGAAAGTTCGAAGTCTTGACTCTGTGTATCAAGGTAACTCGTCAACTTCCACCGTGACCTCCTTGCGCCTCCAGGCTATACTGGCCAGAACTCGTCAAGAGTCAATTTGCATGTATCGGACGATTCCTGATTTGCATCAGCCTCCTAGCAAAGGGTGCGCAGCATCAGATCGTAAAAACAGCCGAAACCACTCCGGTCCATGGCTTAGACCTCGCGGAGCAACTCCTCCATAGCCGTGTGGAACGAAAACGGACTTTAGACAGTGTCTAGTGCCCTGTGTCCGATTCCAGATCTGGCTAGCCGAAAACGGCCCGGAAGCGATATAACCAAACGTTTCTTAGCGCCCCACCCTGATATCTTGGCATCGGACGTTGCGCTCATTTACGTTTAGTGTTTTAAGGGGCAAGGACAGAGGGGCGAAGCGGCGGCGCCTGACTTGTCGAAAATTGTGGTTTTGCGAATTACACAAAAATTGGTTTCGTCTTGGCTGCTGTAGGTGTTGTAGAGCATCTGGTGGACATCTTAGATTTTATAGATTACTGCACGGTATGGTTACATTCGGGCCGAGCCCGGTTCTCATGCATCAAGGGTAAAAGGTAGGAACAAGGAAGACGAATTTCCATCAATACTCCAGTAGATTCATCAAACTCACCATCAAAGAAGTAGTTCACGTCTATCAGGAGATCAAGGCGGGGTTCATTAGCGCGGCTGAGAATCTCGCTGATAGTGCTGCAAGGTTATGCCACAGCAGCAGTACCGCGCAGAAGCGAGTATCACAGTTTTGAGAGAGTTTCAAACAGGCACCACATTTAAGCACAACAGGCAATTTTTAGGTTTCAGAAAAGTTTGAATTTTCCGTAGGCCGCCTCACCTTCTAGAAGCACTTCCCCCCCTACCATCGACGATCCGATTTACAATGTCCTTCTGCTACAGGTGGCTTGTAAGCCTCTCCAAAAACGGACAGCCGCTTTGCTGTCTGCGCCTATTGACTAAGCTGACAAATGGTTTAGAAACGCAGGCTCGGAACAAGTTGCAGTCTGGGGCTGCTACGCGGCTGAGTTCCTGAATCTACTTGGCTGGCGAAGCTGGATAGTGCATGCCAAGGTCGGGTTTTTTGCACCCATACTTCGGTGCTACTCTGGAAATAGGGCAGGGCACAGAATAGATAAATAGCTGGCATTTCCACCGATATGTTTTCTCGAATGCCATCATGAAAACTCCAGCGATCCTTCTTTGCATAAACCTTGTTGCTGCATTGCAGTTCTACGAGAAAGCCGATTCTGGCTATAAGGCCTGCGGGTTACTTCACCAAGCTGTGGCTATTCCAGGCCTGAGTGGCCAGTACTTGAACGTTGATCGTTATTGTGATGCTCTGCATCAACCCTTTTTGGGTTCCATGGCTGCCTGTTTGGTGGACTCCTTCGATGATGAGAAGTATGTGGAGCACTTTGTCTCCTACTGTCTGGGCCAGATATCCAGAGACGACTTCGACAAGGCCTACCAGAATGCATCCCAGTACCTAGTGAACGGTACATCGTCAGAGGGAGCCCAAAAAGCACAAACGAATCCGTTGTCGTTTGATCCTGATTCGGTGCTTTACCAGGCAAACGACTCATACAACTACGACAGAACAAACAACTTCACACTCATTTTTGGCATTGTGCTCACGGCATACTGGTTTGCTGTGTGCTTCATCGCCGGCTTTTTCCACTGGACAAAGCGTCTTGTTCCGTGGCTTTCTGATAAGCTTCTCGGCTTTGCACCCTTCAACTATGTCAGACGCTTTATCGTGCTTCCTGCTACCTTCAGCAAAGCTCATTTCAGTACGAAAAAATTTGGACCGCTTGAATGGCTTATACCGCTCAGATTCGAATCTGTGCTTCTCGCCATTTACTTCATTCTTTCGGCCATTTTCTGTGGTGTGGAAATCAACAATGCATCAGACAAACCTTTGGTGATCCAGGTGGGAAACAGAAGCGGTGCTCTTGTCACATTTGCCCTTCCAGTGCTTATTTTGTTCGCTGGAAGAAACAACTTTTTGCAGTTTGTCACCGGCTGGCAATATACCCGTTTTGTGGTGTTCCACCGCTGGGTAGCTAGAGTAGCATTCCTTGTGTTGATGGTGCATGTGGGCACGATGACCATGACACTCAAATACTACCAGGCCTACCCGCTGTCTCTTTCAGACACTTACCTTGTGTGGGGCATTATTTCCACCGTTTGCATGGGCTGCTTGGTGTTCTTCTCCATGTACTGGCTCCGCAGAACCAGGTATGAGCTTTTCCTACTTACCCACTACATTTTTGCAATTCTCATGATTGCCGGTGGCTGGATTCATGTCAAGATTAGACAACTCGAAGGCTTTTTCATTGCATGTATTGCTGTGTGGGCCGTCAATTTCGTCATCAGAGGTCTCCGATTGGCCATCTTTGGAGTCCAAGAAGCCACCCTAGAACTCGAGGCCGACGAAACCATCAGAGTCATTTGCAGGAGACCACACTGGTGGCGTCCACATCCAGGCAGCCACGCCTTTGTTCACTTCTTGACGCCCATGTCGTTCTGGCAGTCTCATCCATTCACTTTGGTGGATGAACCAGTGGAGGACGGAACCGTGGGAATGTATGCTAAAATCAAAGGTGGTGTCACACACGGCCTTTATCAGCAGTTATTGAGAGCACCCAGTCACTCCATCAATATCAAGGTCATGGTGGAGGGCCCATACTTTGAGAAAATGCCCGTTGAAGATGTTGAAAGGGCAGTATTTATTGCTTCCGGTAACGGCATTCCAGGAATGTACGCTGGAGCGAAGGACTTGGCTATAAATTACCCACGCAAGCCCGTGAGGTTGATTTGGGTCATCAGAGATTACATATCTATTTGCTGGTTTTACAGTGAGCTCAAGCAGTTGGAGTTGCTCAACATCGATATCATCATCTACGTTACTCGAGGCCTGAAGGAGGATGAACTTCGTCATCATATCAGAAGAAACCTGCTTAGTGAAAAGTCCGATCAAAGCAGTGGTTCCACCAAGGTGAACGGATCCATTACGCTGATCAACGATCTCAAGCAGAGTCTTCCATTTATTGAGTTTGTCGAAGGAAGACCCAACATTGGTGGAATAGTCTCAGACGAAGTCATCCAGTCAGGCAATCACAGCACAGGCTTCATTACCTGTGGCCATCCTGCTATGGTGGATGATATAAGAAAGCAGGTTGTCGACACGCTAGCCGTGGATCCGACCCTCAAGATCGAGCTCTTTGAGCAGTTCCAGATGTGGTAAATATACGCTAAAGTCACCGGTAACCGTTTTGTTTCAACTATGTACATATGCTCGTGAATTAGGATTCCTCTGGGGCAGGCACCTCTGCCTCTATAGCCTGCGACAAGGCGTTTCTCAAGAATGGGAAAACGTCGATCTTGTCAAGCTTGACGCTCTGGCCAGACTCTCTTAGCGTCTTGACCTCCTCAACAGCGGTCTCGGTGTCACGCAACAAGAATGGCAATTCCTCCATGACACCATTGAGGGGCAAATCTAGAGCGTCTGGGTGTGTTTGCGTCACGTATCTTCTAGCCTTCAAGTTGGCAACGTAGCTGAGACCCTCAACAAACTTGACGTTGATGTCCCTGTCCAAGTCGTAGTCTTCAAGGGTGGGTTCGATGCCGAAAATGGCGTATTGCAAACGGACAAGCTTGTCGTTGAAGGAGGAGATATCGGCCTCACCGGCGTTGATATACTGCTCCTCAAAGTCAGCCAAGTACTCAGAGATCTCCTGGGTCAAAGTCTGGGCCTTCTCGGTAGCTGTTTGTCTTTCAAGAAGGGTCTGCTTGATTCTCTTTTGGTTCATCTTAAGCATGAGATCGTGGGAACGCACAGAGGGCTCCACAGGCACAGCAGCCATGTGGGAGACCTGGAGCTCTCTGGCAATGCGGTTTCTTTCTTTCAAGGTCAAGTACCAGATTTTGTGCAAATCGTCAAAGGACTTCCTACGCAATTCAGCCATCGACCATGCACGGACATCGTCAGGGGTCTTTTCACGCAAAGCAGCCTTGGCCTGGTTGCCTTCGTGGAAGAAAGCCCACAATGGGTGGTCTGGGGAAACATCGAAGTTGGTGTGTTTGGGCACGATGGGTTCCCTGAGCTTGATGTCAGCCACAGGTCCGAATGTCAAGGGCTTGCTTCTTGCAAGAGCCCTGCAGGCCAGGTGGAGGCCTCTAGATGGGATCAACATGGACTGGGTGGTTTAGAGGTTAGTTGCAAAAATTTTTGTTAGCGAGCATTGTTGGTGAGGTCACGTGCGGGAGGTGGAAAGGCATCAACAAATGGGCCAGAGGGGGTTGTTTTGGAAAGATGGAGGTTTTGAAGGGGGTCATCAGATCTTAGATTTTTCAATTCTGTAATTTGAGCTTTTTCTTTGGTGAGGATGCAATGTTTTAATGTCCATACTCAGATGCGCTCTGGAGTCAACAACTCAGTATTCCATGATACCTTCACTTTACATTGACCAAGTATCGACCAAACATGATTCAGATTCGAAAAATTACCTCCTCTATCTCTCCATTTTTCTATATGTACCCGTCGACGGCGACCTTTTTCTGTTGATGTTGGTTCCTCCACAGACTGTCCTGTACCTACTGTGGGTTGAGATTTCCAGCAAAGGCTACAAGCTTCTTCATCAATGTCCACCATACAAACAGAACAACAGCAGGAGGAGCCGCTCGACCTCATCAGATACCAGCTAGATGAATACGTGCTTGTCAAATTGAGAGGAGCACGTGAGATGAAGGGCCGTTTGCAAGCGTACGACTCGCACTGTAACATCGTCTTGAGCGATGCTGAAGAAACCATATACGGCGAGAAAGAGCTGGACACGATTGTGAAAAAGACAGAAATGGTGTTTGTCAGAGGTGACTCGGTTATCTTGATCAGCTCCATCGACCAGTAGCCTTGTGCCGCTTTGTACATTATAATATAAGGGATCGCATAGGCTTTCACCTGTAGCCTCCTAATCCACATCCATGGACTCGTCGAAGCTGTTGAGCAATGTCTCGACGGCTTGTAGTTTCTTGGCGTTCACCAACCATCTCTCCTTGGCTATGGCGCCACGACCCACGAGATCCTTGATTTCTCTCGCTAGCGCCTGAATGGTCTGTTCGTAGTCGTCTACTGTCATTGACTTGGAGTCTTTGGGGGTAACCATCGAACGTGACAAGTCGAACGAGACTTGCAGCGAGCCCAAGCGGCGTGCCGCTTTCAGCCAGTCTAGTAGCTCATTCAAGCGCTTGAGTGTGTCGATAGAATGCTGTTTTGTTTCTGTTTTGGGGTTCTCGCCTTCACCTTCGTCAATCTCGTCCACGGTTTTGAGGTTCTTGAGCTCGTCGTCAAGAGCCTTGAGCGACTCTTGAAGCTCACTTCTGTCGAAAACTGTGCTTCGGTAGTCAATGAAGGTACCGTTGGCGTTGGGTGCTCTATCCCGGAAACCTATCGAACTGACGCCTCTACCCCTATTAGTAAATGCCATTTCGAACTTACCAACCATCTTCGCCATTCTCTCAGCGATAGGAGCGTATTCTTCACTCAATGTTGCGAGATTGGCTTTGAGCTCTTCGTTTTCCTTGGAAAGCTCAACATAGTTCTTCTCTAGTTCACTGAGATACTGTGGCGTGTTGCTGCCAGCAAAGTCAATCCTTCCTGATAGACGCTCCACGTAGGCGGGATATGATACTTTGTATTTTTCGTTTTCAAAGTTGAGCTCCTGGAGTCGTTTAAGTGATTCCTCTGAGACTTCTCCATCTTCTTTCTCTTTTTGTATCTGCTTCACAACCTCAAGCACGCTCTGGCGAAACTTCAAGTATTGGTATGCGACATTGTCGTGAGTGGATATGTATGAATCTATAGCAGCGTCAATGACACTCTGCTGTTGGTTGGTTATCAACGACATGATGTTGTATTATATGAGATGTGCGAAGATATGGGTCGCACATACTACTTGGGTGCAAAATACGAGATCGTCAAAAATGCATTTATGTATTTAAATCGCGCCTGTTGGCACCAATTGCCCAACCTAGACCGGAGACAAACAAGTTTGAGAGTTTGTCGCTAGCGTGGGACGTCGTCTTAGAAGCGGTTTTAGACGCCTCGTTCAACAACCTACCAGCGTTCTCAGGTATCTGCAAGACGCTAGGCTCTGTTTGCATTTGCGTGTTCAGCTCGCTGTACAGGCCGAGATGATCAAAAACGGAATCAATTTCTCTCTCTTTCTGTTTGAGCTGAGTGAGAATGAGGCGACTGTTGTCTGCGGTTGAGCTGGAAGGCTTGGTGAGCTTGAGTGTGAGGAAAAGAAGCTCTCTTTGTTTGAGGTAGACATCGAGTTTCTTCTTCTCCACCAAAATATCGTCATCGTTGAACCATTCTGGCGCTATGTATTTTGCAGTTTGGTAAAACGTGAGCCAATACTCGTTGATGCTGAAATTGTTGTCAGCAGCATGTTGATCGAAAAGCATTTTCGAATGCTTGTAGGCAAAAGTGAAGTTGTTGTCAATCAAAGCAGACTCAATGCAAGCGGATTGAATCCTTGCAAACGGAACATGCGAGACGTCTATGCCAAGATAGATGGCAAGATCATTGACAATGCGGTAGAGCTTCTCGAAAGCATGATAAGACTTGGGGTTTTGCTCTAGAACATGCGAGACAATCGAGAACGGCGTGAACTGCTCGTCATCTTCTGTTCTTGTAATTTTGGTTAAAACCTCCAGAGGTTTGGCCGAGCCTCTACCATCGAGTGAAAGCTTAAAGTTCTTCAAGCTGCTGATGGCTTTAAGCAAATGTTTGAGCTTGACAATCTGGGCTCTTGATGCTTCGTCGAGGTTCTCGCTTGAGCCAAGGGTGCTTAGAAGATTTACGCACTCGTGGGCTTGTTTGAGATGACCCGATCTTTCATCCAAGTTTGTGGCTTCGTCAAACTCATACTTGAACTTTTTTAGAAGTACGTCAAACGCCTGGTTTACCGATAAAGACGGCGTATTTTGATAGAACTCAGTAGCGTTTGCGAAGAGCCCAACACCTAGGAGTCTTTCAAAAATGATGTGATCAAGCTCGCCTTCGAGCAGTTTGTCGCCCTTGATAAACGAGGACGAGATGAGTTTGACTGAGTGAAGGAGCTTTTCATAATTGGAAGACTCCAAGTGAGCAAGCACACGGAGAACCTCCTTTTTCACCGACTCTTGATCTATAGAGCCAGTTTGACTGAGCTTCAAGTATTTGGAGACTGTGAGGCCATTGACAGGGAAAACCTGGCAACAAGTTGCGATTGCGTTCTTCAAGAATGCGAGGCATCTTTTCGTGTCCAGCCTGAAGAGTGATTTCAATGGATTGGCATGGCTTGAGACAAAGTCAGTAAATGATGCATACTCTGGTAAGTTGTCAAGATCAACATCCTCCGAAAGTAAAGAGCCCCCAGAGCTGGTGACATCGAGCAACTCTATCAAGACAGTCACAGAATTGTCAATCATATCATAGGCTCTAGAAACATCAACAGATGACACGGTCGATTCACCATAGAGCGCAAAGTAGTATACCAAAGCAATGTAATTGCTGACGAACCCTGCGGTACTCTCATCCAGTAAACCTTGTCCTTTGTAGTCTGTGAACTTCAAAATGCTTTCTGTCGTTGATTGAAAAGTCAGAAGTCTTGACAACCATGATGGATGCTTCCTCTCTGTGTAAACCCATTCAAGAAGTGGTGAAAGATCACCACCATAGTACAAAGCAACAGGCAAAAGCACCTCTGAGAGTATCTTTGGTGGGTTAAATGCAACGTGGTTCTTCTCCACAGCGGCTGTGTATGGCTTGATGAAGAAGTCTAGTTTGTCTGAGTATGACTGACGCAGAAGGTATTCAAATGCAGCAGTGTCACCCAAAACCACACCGTAGGAGCGTTTGAAGTTGTTGTATGGCGCAAAGATGCCGTGGTACCAGGCCAAAAAGCTTTCGTTTCCTTGGACAGTCCTGGCAAGAAAGTCGTACTGCTCCAAGTCTGCAGTATACTTGGAAAGCTGAATGATCTTGGCCATAACGAAACTTGCATAGTTTTCACAGCTGGTGTATCCAATCAGCTTACTGCGCTGAGCATAGTCAGCTTCTAAGGCAGCAGCTGTTCTGACAGCATCCTCCTCATCTGGCAATTGAACAGAATACTCCTGGGTAGTCCAGAGCAACAAATCTTCCACATCATCTGAAAGCTCTGCTGTGTTAAGAGATTGACTCTCCGACTCTAGAGTTGTTATTTGCTGAGCATATTGAGCAATTCCTTCCAAATTCACTGAAATCGAGCTGACCCCGAATATGAAGCTTCTCAATAGATTCGACGGCTGATTGAAGCGTAGTTGCCCTAGTTTGCTCAAGGGTATGATTTTTGCAAGAAGCAGCTCGATTGCCTCTGGTTTTGTTGCAAGGATACTGCAGAGAGCCAAGAAAAGCTGTGCGTCTAGCCGCTCAAGCGAAGATCCTGACATATCCAAAAGTGTAGCTGGTGTTGATAATATGTACTGTGCGCACTAGGAGTAAGAGATCAAATAGAAACACCATCACCAAGAAGAACTGAACCACGCCTGCAAACAGCACAGTCGAATCCGCAATAACGTCAGAGAATAAAGTATAAGAGACGCTTTTATTCTTGAACATTCGAAACCTTCCTTTTTGGGTTCCCCTGACTGTTTTGCCTAATTCAGCACTGTTTATCGCTATCTTTACCATCACATCCTCCTATGCTTAGCACGAACGGCATTATATGATTTCAACGTTTAGACTTTTACGACGCCCTACTATAGCATATACGACAACACCACGCAGAGCCCTCATGAACGGCCCTCAGGCTTCCTTAAACAGCGCGTCTAGATGGCATGGTTTAGTTCCAACCACAGAAAACCTCAACCTGCTACTAGAGGTTAATCTTTCGTCTTTTTCGGAATCCCAGCATACTTACAACGACTCGGACAATTTATCAGATGATCCTTTTGGTTCGCAAGATCTCGTTGGCATATGTGAGCCTTCTGATGCTCCTCTAGAATCAGTTCAAGATGAGAAGCCCAAGATCAAGAAAGAATTTCCTTCATCTCCGCTTTTTGTCACCGCCAACTCCCTGCCACAAGTTCTGCCGGTAAAGAGCTCTCAGCTAAATTCTGGTAGTAGGCCTGACCATCATTCCTCGCTCCTAGGGTCTCCTCAACGCAAACGGCTCAAACCAGATCTGCAAACGCGTTGCTACAGCACAAATGCTGAACTTCCAGCTCCCGAGACTCTTGAAAGCAGAAACGAACCCCGGGTTGAGCTCTTTCAAACTGGGCCACCCAGAAGATCAATAAAGGGATTCTCGAATCCCACGATTCAACTAGCCACCCAAAAACCACTAGCGCCTTGGGAGCAGGAGCTCTTGGGTACTCAGGATAAGTTTGCGGGCAGAGCCAAGAGTGTCACCCCATTTGTTTTGTCTCGTGAACAACAATACGTCATGGACCTTGTTCTTCGAGGCGAGTCCCTTTTCTTTACCGGTTCGGCCGGTACAGGTAAGTCAGTCCTTCTTAAAAAGACAATCAAAGCATTAAAGGACAAGTATAGACTTGGGGAAATTGCTGTTACTGCCTCAACGGGATTGGCTGCACATCACATTGGCGGCACAACATTGCACAGTTTCAGTGGCATTGGTTTGGGAAATGGCACTGTGCAGCAACTTGTGAAAACCGTGAGGCGGAATAGGAAAGCAACTCACCGATGGAAGGATACCAAAGTTCTCATCATCGATGAAGTTTCAATGATCGACGGTCGTCTATTGGATAAGCTAAATCATGTCGCCAAAGAGATTCGCAAAAAGCATCATCTACCGTTTGGAGGCATCCAACTTGTTCTTTGTGGTGACTTCTTTCAGTTGCCTCCTGTCAGCAAAATTCAATTCAATGAAGATGGCTCTGAGCTTAAGGACGAAGCTCATTTTGCATTTGAATCTGAGGCATGGAAATCTTCCATTTCTTCAAGTATTGTTCTAGAAGAGGTGTTTCGTCAGAAAGGTGACCAGAAGTTTATCGAAATGCTTAATGACATGAGAAGTGGACTCGTTACACCAGAATCTGAAATGGAATTTATGCGCCTCTCAAGACCCCTCACTTGTCCAGCTGGAATAGTTCCTGCCGAGTTGTACGCAACTAGAAGTGAAGTTGATCATGCAAACAACCTTCAGCTTTCGCGTCTACCAGGAGATGCCTATCTCCATGAGGCAATCGACACTGGCGAGCTCCCACCAAAGATCAAGTCTGCGATGCTCTCCAACTTTTTGGCTCCTCCAAGGTTGCATTTGAAAGTGGGAGCTCAGGTTATGTGCATTAAGAACTTTGACGAAGATCTAATCAATGGCTCGATTGGTAAAGTCGTGGATTTCCTTGACCGTGATGTTTACATGGGTTACGAAGTAATGAAGGAAAACAATACCATGACTCATGAAGAGTTCAAGAAAAAACTTTTGAAGAAGAATGTTGCTTTTCCACCCACGCCTCAGAAGGCTTCTGCTCGAAGTGACGACTCTGATGTGAAGCTCGAACAAGGAGAGGTGAAGGAAGAGAGTAAAGTACATGAGCAAAAATTGGAGGTAAAGAAAGAGACAATACTCGACAATGTGTTCGACTTCTTCCAAGATGAAAATGACTCATCAGTTAAGCAAGAGGATTCAAGTGCTGCGGCAGATGAATCGAGGGATGAATCGAAGGATGAATCTGGATTGGCATCATCGCCCTTAAGTCCGTTTGAAGAGAACAGACGCCGAAAGCTTGCTCTCATGAGACGTCTCGAAGAGCTGTCGAAGAAAACCAAATACCCCTTGGTGAGGTTTACCTGCGCGGACAACGTCACTACAAAGGATGTACTTATTGAGCCTGAAAGATGGGATCATTTGAACGAGAAGGGCGAGGTTTTGGTTGCACGCACACAGCTTCCATTGATGTTGGCATGGGCTTTGTCCATACACAAATCGCAAGGCCTTACGCTCTCGCACGTCAGAGTCAATCTCAATAGGATTTTCGAATACGGACAAGCCTATGTGGCTCTTTCAAGAGCGGTTTCTCGAGACTCTCTTCAGGTGGTGAATTTCCGGAGGGACAGGATCAGGTCTAGTATGCTTGTGGATGATTTTTACAAGAGTCTTACGACGGCGAACGAGCATAGAAAACGCACCTAGAAGTGATTTAATTCAGTGATATATACAGATTGTTAATGGATAACCGGTTAGAAATGCTTGATGTTGGCGTATTGTGCAATATCGCTTGTTAATAGTATCTGCTCTAGTTTCTCCAAGTCAAGCTCCAATTTATGTTGGCGATCCGTATCAGATTTTCGAGCAATGTCTTCTTTGATGAAAAGAAGGTTGGCATCCATCAGTGCTGACCGTGAAGCCATAAGCTTTTTGAGGTAAAAGCAAAGCAAGTCCATGTTTGGATTGAGAAGTCCCAAAAGATGGTCAGGCTGCACTTCCTTCTCGAATGCAGTGGCAGAAAGAAGTGAATCAAGACCAACAACCATGATGTTTTGCACCCCTGAGAAGCTTTGACCAATGAGGTGATGTGGGTGTATGCAAAGATGGGAATCGTTCTCTGAAAAGAAATGTTCAAGACTTTCCGTAGAGTTAGAAGGTTCATACACTTTTGTAGGAAACTTTGGTGCACAATCCTCAGGTATGGTCTTGAGGTCGACTTGAGGTGGCACGACAATCAAGAAAGGCTGAGTGCTTTTGCTGACGGTGTAGAATTTCAGGAGAGCTTTCCTAAGCATACTTTCAAAACCACTAGCGTCCCTATCCATAACTCGGTTCCTGAGATACTTCTTCTGATGGTTGTTCAGGCAATACGTTTGGAGTTCCTTGATGTGGAAGGATAGCCTCGACAAGCCTTGCAAATAATTCAGCTCTAGCTGCTTGACCTTGACTTTCTTGTAGCCCGACTTGCTCTTGGCAGATGCAAAGTAAACGTTGGGAGGCAATGCAGTGAACAGTTCGGTCCAGTTCCTGTGGTTGTCTAGATTGAGTTCGTCCATATCGACGAGTCTTCTCTCTTTCAGAAAAAAGGTATCTTCCTTGAGATGAATATCGATGAGATGACGAAGTTGAGATGCTGTTTTCTCGGTTCCATCAATTGAGCTAGTAATAGGGAAGTTCAGCTCTCCCGTGATGCAGAATTGCACAGGGCGATATGTCAACTTGTTTTTCACACCAAGGAGCTTCGAGACTAGCTTCTCGTTGAAGTTTTCTGGAAATGCTTCTTCGCTTTCTATGGGTCTATCGATGACGTACTTTGAAGCAGCAAAACTCAGATTCGAGTCATATCGAAGCTCCACATCATGGAGCCGCTGTTTCACCTTATTCGTAAAGGTATCACGGTGTACCTTGAGAATCTGCTTGACAGAGTCTAGCACTTTCGATTGTAGCTTCCCGTTATCGCCTTGCTGGACAAAATTCTTGCTTTTGCCACAACCAGTGCTGCTCAACATGAAGTCCACATCGTCCAAGGCAATGAGTCTGATGGATGAAAAAAAGTTCTTTCTTTTGGAAAGAAGATTGCGTAGGCCTGAAGGAGTCAGCACAACAAGCTGAGGTACCTTAGATTCGCCCGTAGAAAGGAAGGTAGATTGACCATCGGTGTCCACGAACTCAGCACCAAACGTCTCATACCCGATCTCTGATTCCTGAGTTTCTCTGGAAGGACAGCACAATTCCGGAAGATCAGCAATGGCGCTTTCAAGGTAAAACTTGTACTTTCGTAGGAGGTCATCTGTGGGCACAACGATCAACGAATCGTAGAATCTCTTTGGTTTGACTGGAGCATGAGTGAGGGCTCTATTTAATGCTAAAACGGCAATGGCCAAGGATTTGCCCGATTGGGCTCGTCCTCGAAGCATTATATTATTTTCAGCCCTAACAACATCCCAAATAGCTCTTTGTTCTGGTGTGAATTCGAGTCTCTTGACTTGTGGTTGGAGCTTCAGTAGGAGGGTTGAAATGTTCTTCTCGACCCTAGGAACGAGGGCCATCTTTCGAGAATTGTCTTGATATAGACTAGCATCTTTTGCTTCATGGGAAATATTGAGGAACCTTCGCCCTAGTGCTCGAGATATGCGTGCATTTCTTAGTAGTATCATGGTTGATATCAAGCGATGCGCATCGCACATATAGTTATGCATGCATTTTACTATGTACTGATCAGATGGAGTTTCTTCTAAACCTGCTCTTGGGGTGGCTTCCTTCCTTCAGCTTGAGATTGGTGACACCAGCGAACTTTGGCAACTTGCCCTCGTTGGCCCATTTGCCGATGGTTTCGTCAGCGTACGCCAAACCGACATTGTAGATCTCGTCAAACTTCATGAAATCCAAGGTAGCATAGTCGTCAATAGGTGGGCGGAGATACATCACTCCAGGCATCTTCTTGGCAGCCTCAAGAGCGTTGACACTGGCAACGTATGCCAACCGCAACTGAATGTCCATCATGTTGGGCACGTTGGGGTGCTTGGAGAATGGATTCCAACGGTTCAAAAGAACCCAGAACCCAGACAAGGTGTCTCCGTAGTTCATAGGAGTTCTGTCATCCACTGAACCCACATCTACTGCCACAATGTGCTTGGCACCTCTGACCTTCATCTCCATTACAGGAAGGTTATCCAAGTAGCCACCGTCGAGAAGCATCAGTCCATTGTAGGTGATTGGTGGAAGAAGACCTGCCAACGACATAGAAGCTCTGATAAATCTCCAAGCGTAGCCTCTTTCATGAATCTCCATAGTCGAGTTGGTGATATTGGTCGAGTTACAGAAATAACGAATCCAGAAATCTTCAATCTCGTGCACTCCGAAAACTTTCCAGATACCTCTGTTGAACTCATGTCCTGTAATATAGGACGTCACAGGGTATGTCAAATCAAAAAGCATTCTCCAGACTGCACCGATTCTTCTCGAGAACTTCTTGGTCATACCATAGATCGACACAATATTGTTCTCCTTGGCATATAATCCGCCGACGAAGGATCCAATGGATGTACCGCCAATCAAATCAACCGGGATACCGTGCTTCTCAAGGGCAGTGACCACACCAACGTGCGAGATTCCTCTGGATCCACCACCCCCGAGAACAAGACCAACAGCCTCGTTCGATAAGATTCTTGCCAACCTCATGAAATCATTCTTGTACAACACAGGCACATTTTCAGACTTGTTTACCCGAGCGTTGAGCTTGATGAGAGAGTTCATGGCTCTTGATTTGACGTTCAGGAACTTCATTTTGATGTTTGGATTAGCCTTGGTACCAAGCTTAATGGCAAGATCAGTAAGCACATTTGGCTTCTTTTTGATGGGTTTCTCAGTAGGTTGCTTCACAACCTCCATGTGAATGTGATGATGGCCTTGGACCCAGATTCTGTTCTTAAGCCATATGCTTGTCGATCCTGGGAAGACAGAAGGTTCGGGATGCAAAAGACATAACTCGGTTCTCGCAGTCGTTTTAAGCTTCAAGAGCAATCTCTCGTAGTCACCGACATTTGCAGCACAATCGTAGTCCTCAGCATCTGCCAATAACAAGATGCAATCACCTTGCGAGATACAAGTAGATGTCCAAGAAGATTTCAATGGCGAGTCACAAATGTACACTACCGTTTGGTATTCCTCCTCTAGGTATGCAAAATAGCCAGAGAGTCTCAATTGAGCAAGCCTTTCATCGAAAGCGTGTCTACCCAAGTGCGATAATGTCGAGGTTCTATCCAACGCAATGACATGACGATCAAGCGCTTTGAGGGCATGAACCAATTTATCAGCAAATTCACGAACAGGCAAACCATTAGTGGCAGGCAAAATGGTAATTGTTTTATAGTCATTGTTGATTTCAACAACTGAGCTTTTGGAGGTGGTAGCGATAAGAGTATTAGTTCTATCTCTCTTGCTAGCTTCGAGACTTCTGTTTGCGACAATTCTCGATACCTTCACCATGATGGATGGATTCTGTAAGGACAACATCTCAAACAATGTTCTCGGAATTCTGGCTGTCTCAGAGTCTCTCACAGCAATAAGCGAGTTGGTACGTCTCGAGGCAGTGAGCACTTCAACTTCACCAATCGAGGCACCATGACCATATTCGCCTAAGATTTCAAAATCTTCCTTATCCTGTTGATGCTTTGGTATGTTAGAATCATCAATGAGATGACCTAAGTCACTTTCATCCTCCTCATTCTCGATCTTCATTTTTTTGTTCCTGACGACTCTAAAGCGACCACTCAACACAACGTGAAAGCCGTTGGCCAAGTCACCTTGCGAACATAATACTCCACCAGCAGGGATGTGACACCATTCGAGAGCAAAATCAATCGTGACAATGAGGCTTGGAAGCAAGCTCTTGAGTTTAGCCGCCACAGGCAATTGAAGGAAATAAAACTTGTCCATAAGACGCGTAAAATCATTCTTGGAGATGTGAGCCACGATGGTGCCATCATCTTTTGAACTCTTGATCGAGACCAAAGAGCGGAGACCAACAATAGAACTGAGATATCCAGCCAAACCACCTGGCCTCACGGTGTAAAGTCGTTTACTAACAATATCTTCCTTATTGTCCTTGTGAGACTCATGCACAATGTCCAACCCTCCGTGGATAACGTAAAAGAGACCGGGACTCAAGGCATTTTGCTCAACAATCACCTCGCCCGGTTTGTAGTACTTCACCTCAATATGCTTGCTGAAGGCGTTCTTAACGGTGGCAAAGTTCACCTCCAGACTTGATTGCGATGGCCTTCTAGAATTTGGCGAAGCACTCTGACTTTCGACATTTTCAGGCTTGGTGTGATGAATGGTGTTGTAAAACTTTTGGGATGTTTGTGGAAAAGCGGCTTTGTAGCCGAAGTAGGATGAATTGAATGCTGGTTCTCTCCCCCTTTCAGCATCTAAGACGTTACGCTCGATATTGAGAGGTAACGACAGATCACTCATGAGAGAGGAAAGCCCAAATGAAGAAGAATTGGCCGAAATCTGACCACTGCTGATCCCGTGCATGTTAAGCTGGGACGAATTTTCGTCAATACCCAAGAGCTTAAACAAGTTTTCAACAATAGCGATACGCAAAGACGTTTCTTCTGTTTCTTCTCTCTCGTCAGAGAAGGACCTGGTACGAAGATTTTCTCTGCGTTTGAGTTTGGACTTCTTCAAGACAGGTGAGACATTGCTCATGGTAGGCTCCTTCGACAACTGCTTTTGACTATCCCAGCTAGTCAAGTTGTTAACTTCATCGGACAATGATGACGCGTGCAGTTTGGAGTAGTCAGACGTACGAGAAAGAGGCACGGACGAAAGCAAGTCACCAGGGTGCGATGGCTTCGACCGACTGGCAAGAACAACATATCTTGACGAGTTCTCGCGATGAAGCTTTCGTTGACGTCTCTTCGACTTCGAAAAAATAGGCATGTTTCCACTTTCGGCTTCCTCGGCTCTTTGTTGATGATAACTCTCAATGACACCGTCGTACAAGTAGCTAGGTAACTTGCACTCCTCATGAATGGAGTTCAAGGCAATCTCTGAGTCAAACACTTCACGGATCAAGCCAAGGTAAGTATGCACAGTGTTCATTGTGACCTTGTACAACCGAGTAAGCACCATGGTGACAATGTGGGAAGTTGCCTTGGGGTACCTTGTCTGGACTCTTTGGAAGGCCAGACCAGGAATGATGGCGATAGTGGCAGAGGAAGGAAATTCACTCTTTGCAGCCGATGGCTTGGGTCTAGCAACCACCTCGGGTAAATCGGAGAAGCTGTGGTCGTAGATTGGAAAGCTTCCATGCTCCATTGGCGTGCCTGCCGCCGATTCAGGTTGGCCGTGCAAACTGCCAGTTGTGTTGATGCGAGGAGAATTGAAGTAATTGCGTTGCTCGTCGGCCTTTCCTTGCGGAGCAGGACTGGAACCGTGGACAGGGCTCAACGAAAGAGGTTCAATGGGTGTAGAGGTGCTCAGTTGTCTAGAGTTGAGACGACTGTGAAGAACAGGCTTTGGTCGGGCCAAAGGGTTGGTTCTATTCGATGAAGGAGGAAGGGCAGGCGAGGACATGGCGGTGTTCCTGGTGTGGAAGAGGTCCAACGTGCTAAGCAACGAGGAGAGGGCAGCGCCACTCTTGACCTCGTTAAGCAATTGGTAGTGCTGGCCCTTGATGATCAAGATATCGTCCTTTTCGGCCTTGTCCGTGTCTTCGTCAAACTCAAAGTGAGTGCCGTGTTTTTCATGCAATTTGGTGTAGACCTGGACGGTTCCCTCCACCACAATGGAGAAGCCGAGTTTCTCGTCCAAGTACAAGATTTCATCAGCCTCAAGCCGCTGGGTGGTCATGTTCTTGGTCAATTCGTGGAACACGGGTCTCTCAAGATAACCAAACACCTTGATGGCGCTCAAGAACTCGTCCAAGTAAGTTTTGGATCTGTCGTTGCCCCTGCGTTTCCGGGAGCCCGTGACATAATCAATGCTACGGCTGGCGTGGCCTAAGTTATCCTGCTTGGGTGGAAGCGTATCCTTGGAGTAACGCGTGAGGTACTTGTGCCTTACAATAAAGTAGCAAAGTGACACCGTGATGACCAAGCAGGTCAAGATCGACAGAAGCGACAAGGTAATCTGGAAGTTCATCTGGAGCATGTTCAAGAAGATCGTGGGGATAATCACCACTACATAGTTCATGATCTTGAAGAACACCCACAGCCAGTACCACAAGGAGGCGGTAAGAAAAGTGATGGAAGACACCGAGTCCTTTGCAGGCGGAAGCGCCTCAAAGGCAAGGGTCGTGGTTGTTTCCACTGTGTCCATTTATTAGCAATTGCTCTTCTGTGAGAGGATAAAGTGAGTAGTTCCTACAAAATGCGGGAGTGAGATTTCGCATCATTTCTATAAATCTGCTCTACGACTTATAATCGGCAGGCAAGGCATTGAACCTGCGAAGAATGCGTTCGATGCCGTCCATGCCTTTCACCAATTGCGGCAATTCAGGCCCGTAACTGATTCTCACGTAGTTATACCAGATAACATCCTCGAGACGGGACAAGTTCTGCGGGTTGATCAAGAAGAAGAAGCCTGGGACCACAATGACTTTTTCGTGGAGACACTCGTGGAAGAAGCCAAGGCAGTTACTGAGCTTGCCGGGTAAATGGGAGAGATTGAGCCACAAGTAGAACGTGGAGTTGGGGATGTTCTTTTGGGTGAAGGGGAAACCCATCTTGCTCAAGCGGCCAATGATATAGTCTCTCTTCATCTTGAAGTGCAATTGAAGCGCCTTCATCTCGGCCTTGACCGCCAAAGGTTTCAAGAAGTCAATGGCAGCATACTGGAAGGGAGCGTTGGAACCACCGTCAAGGTAGGAACCTGCTGAGCTCAAGGAGTTGATGTACTCCTCAGGACCCAAGATCCAGCAGATACGCCAGCCGGGCAACCGGAAGGCCTTGGTGAGACCGTTCAAGATCAACACAGGGTCCTTGTTCACGTCCTTGACGAACTGAGCCGAGGATATCGAGGAACCCAGGCAGTCGTCGTCATAGTAATAGTGGGAGTAGAACTCGTCCATGATCAAAAGACACTTTTCTCTGCAGATCTTGTGGAGACGCTTCAACTGGTCGGGCGTCATACACTTACCGGTGGGATTTCTGGGGTTGGAGGTGAGGAAAGCAGAAACACCTCTCTTCAACTCGAGATCAATGTGGTTCAAGTGCATCTCGTAGTTGTCCACCTCGTCCAAAGGAACGGGAATGGGCGAGAAATTCTTGAAAAGCGAAAGCATCTCGGCGTAGGCGGTATAGTCGGGAAGAAAGAAGGAAAGATAGCAATCGCTGATGATCGAGGCAATACGGATCAACCCGGCTCTTCCTCCAGGCACAATACACACGTTCTTGTATGTGTACTTGGACTCCTTACCTTCACGATAAAGCGAATTGTACAAGTTGGCCACCGACTCACGGAGCTCCTTGATACCGGCAGTAGGGGCATACTCTCTGCTGATATCAGGCACCTCTATCAGCTTGGGTCTCTTGAAGGAGCCTGGAATGGTATCACCGTGTTCTGGAGCACCCTGGCCCAAATTAGCCCACGAGTCGTCACCATTGCCCTGGAAGCCGTATTCATTGGCTCTTTCGGTAACCCACAAAACACCCGTGGAGGACTGTTTCGTGTTCATGGCTGGTTTGTGGATCTCCTCATTGAAGTCAGGACGAGGAAGCGGAATAGGCGAACTCTCCCTGCCATTTTCAGACATGGAGAGTTTCAGAAGCAAGTGCTGGTGGTGAGCTCTTTGCTGGCCTCCGAGCGAGTTCAGCGGAGCCTGGTGGTGGGGAACTCTGGGTGTAGGTGAATCAAGATGGAGGTTCAGCAAGTGGGTCTGGGAGCCATTGGTGAGTTTTTCCAAAAGAGAGGAAGCAGAACGACGGAGGGGCTGAGGTAACGTGGATTCGAGTCTCTCGAATTCCGAAACAGACTCGCTGTCTGAGCCGTAAGGGTCCATGGTGAGAAGGTGGAGTGGTATCAGTGGTTGATTTTTCAAATATGGGGTCGGCCCGGTTCAGGCGGTTGAGCGGAACCTCGTGCAGGCCTGGGTGCAAATGAGTCAGAGTCAGGCTGTGTGGAATAGGGGAATGGGGTGAGGGTTTTAAGAATGATGGGATGTTGTTGATTAAGTTGGGTTGAAAAGGGGGATGGTTTTGGAGAGGCCAGTTGAGGGGAGGTCGGGGAGGTCTGTATTGGTGTCTCAGATGATGCACAGCCCGGGAGATGAGAATTAAGGTTCCAGAGGGTATGTGGGTAAGGGTAGAGTGAAAAGGCCAATTAGGAGCAAGAGATTTTGGTCTTTATGCTTGAGGCGAAGTTTTGGGGCTATCACGGCTTATTGGTGAAGATGTAACGGTGCTACATAGGCCAGGATCCGCTAGTGCGGTAGGGTGGTTAAGCAATGAGGTCTCCTAGCTGCAAGACAAAGGGCAACAAACCTTCCCTTAATTGCTTGAAAATGCTTAATTATTCTTGGATAGGGGTCAAAATCTCTTTTGAATTATGTAACATTGAATTACCAGAATATGGGAGCTGGGTATTGGACCCTGCATTTCTGGCCACTTCGATTGCACAATGGTTGCAAATTGAGACAGTTCTCACCGATTGGGCTGTTACCTCCTCTCTAGCTAAACCCTACAAAAGCGCCTTTTTTTTTACTTTTATTCATTTTTTTCTTACTTTTATTTATTTATAGCGTTTGAAGCAACGCAGCCAGCTCAGTCCACCTTATCGAGGTACGCCTCAAGCTCGGCATCACTGGGGTCCGACTCATAGAATCGAGGAACATCAAAAACACTCAGATCCTCATCACTCGACTCGTCACCAGGGAGAACCAACTTGAAAGTCAAGGATTCTACACTTCTGCGTGGCCAGTACGAACGGCGAATAGTGTGGACTTTGGCTGTCGACTTCTTTGGAGCCTTCTTGCGAGCCTTCTTTGAAGCCTTCTTTGGAGCTGCCTTTTTTGGAACTTCCTCTTTTGCTGGAGCTTCCTTGTAGCCTGAAGATAACCAGACTCCGAGGAATCCAGTAAATTCGCATGGCATAAAGGCAGGAGAAGGCTCAACTAGGGCATTCTGCCAGAAGTAGAAATCCTTGGGGAAAAAGATTTCTGGCTGCTCTTCTGCTGTTGCGTTCTTCCAAAAGTAGAAGTCACAGGGGAAGTAGACTGGCCTGGTCTTTGGGGAAGAGACCCAGGTGTGGAAGAAGCAGGGGAAGTCGGAAGGTGCAAGAGCATTGACGATTTGGGGAACATCAATGCTGAAAGACTCAGTAGTCCAAATATCAAAGAAATCTTCCAAGTCGCCGGGGAGAAACGCTGGGGCATCATCATTCTTGAAGACTTGGCCAAAAAAGTAAAAACTGCCAGGCAAGTAGGAGTGGCGCTTGGTCTTAACCTTTTCGTAGTTGAAGAAGTCGGCGGGCCAGTACGTCTTGGTCTGCTTTTCAAAGCAACCGTCGAAAAATCCAGCAAAGTCACCAGCCATGTAGGGAATAGAAATATCGGAATCCTCACAAATATCTGAGAATTCCTCAAAAATAGGCGTCTTTGTGTTTGTGATAAGGCTCGCCTGAACATGCTTCTCTTCCTGAGCCCAGATATCGATAAATCCAGCGAAGTCTCCGGGAAGAAAAACTTCAGTGTTGATGGGCTGGGTCCAAATTTCGTAGAATTCGGCAAAATCGCCCGGCAAAAAGGTCTCAGCGGCCTTGTTTGGTCTCCTAATGTAGGAGAGTTCTCCAGTCAAGTAGCTAATTGGGGTCTTAGCAATGACTGAGGGCCTGAAACCATGGAAGTGGCCAGGCAAAACGGACTTTGTCTTTAAGACATGCAAGTCCTTAAGCAAATGAAGATTGCGGGAGCATTGTTGAATAGTTTCGTTGTGGACAAGCGAAGGCTTGTCAATCTTGTTGGTGAGGTTCTCCCATACTCTGGAGTAGAGGGTGGGAGGCTCACAAAAGGAAATCTTTGTGAAGCTTGTGTTGCAAATGTTAGCGGCAGACATGTTATTGAAGTGTTGGGTAGGGAAGAGAAATGGTGGTGAAATGGACGTCTCTTTATACCTTTCCGGATGCCTAATTGAAGCTTGAAGCAGGCTGTGCTTCTCACTGTTCTACAGCCAATTGCCCATGTTTATTGAATATTTTGTAGTTTTTGATCATTCATTTAGACTTTTTGTTCTGGGAGGGAAAGTTGAGTAGGTGAATTATGTAAGTGGGGTCAGTCAAGTGGGTAGCTTCTCTTGATGTGCAGCCAAAAGAGGAAGGTAGGGCACTGAGGAAGGGGACCCAGATCACGCCAATTTGAAGGGCATGACGAGGCATCATACATCTTCTCTATTGGAAAGTCGAAAGAATCAATATTATAGAATGGAAGTTGAACAGTAGAGGAAAGAACGACGAATAAGCACTTCGCTAGGGTTGAGCGTATTTCCATGCCTCACGAGCTTGGACCAATTTTTCAACACATGAAATGACTGGGGTCCTTGAGTGATAGCGAATATCAGTGACGATAGAAGCAAAGAGGGATTGTCAAGCTTATCCGCTTTCCTAGTCTCCCAAACCTATACACTCATAATTCTAATCCTGGAACCTCATAACAAGACCAGTGTAGGCCAACCTCTAAGTGCTCAAATTGGTGAATAAGGGTACTACTTGGGTCCATATTCATATGAATCCAGCTAAATTTCAATAAGTAGGGCCGCTTGGAACTCTTCAGTTTAGCCTAGTTAAGTCACTTTTCTACACTCTAGTTTTGCACCCATGGTGGAACTTAAAGGGGACCAGCAGAAAGCAAAGAGTGTATTTCAAAACACCATTTAACATTATACTTTTAATAGACTATCTTCCTTCTCGTTACTGCCTCTCCACAAATCAACCACCTCTCTTGACAGGCTTCTTGACTCGGAGTCGCACGAAGAACCCCGGTGTGTCTCATATCTTAGCCAATCAGCCTAAGTACCGTTCTATAAGCTTTACTTCGTTCTTCGAGGTACAATAGTTGTTGTAGAAAAGTCAAACCCAATTCGGGTAGGGCGGTCGGAACGGAAATGCAAGTCCGAGCCGATGAAATAGATAAGCCCAGTTCTGAGAGGAGGCCATGAAAAACCATTCGAAAATTGACCTGGTAGCTCACTTCAAGTAGTAGCTCCAATTTCCAGAAAATTCCATCAAACGTTCAACCCAAAACGCATCTACGTGTCTCGTGGTTTTGTGGCCTCCACATGAGTGGCTCCAAACACGAGGGGCCCCTATTGGGAGGGGATCAGCTCCTCAGGGGCCAGAACCACAAAATGCAGATTTTCAGATTTTAACAAAATATGAAAAACACACTATAGCTGGCTATATTTTATTAAGCCTGTTACCCCGTATTTTGCTATACATTCCCCAGACGCCAAAACGCCGTTTCGCAGCCAATTCGCCGATTTTTCACCTCTCATCGAAAAAACATAACCAGTCAGGTTTCACCAAATTCCAACCTTTTCACATTACCTTGAAAACTACGTAGGCAACTTTTCATCCCGCTGGCCGTACATCATTACATCCTTCCGTGTAAGCCTCTTTGGCGGTGGTAGATCTACTCCGAACCTTACCGAGCAGCGAAAAACACATATAAATCTCCGCAGGAGCTTCGAAGTATAAATACCACAAGTTTTTCCCGATCCTGCCCGTCAAAAGATCACTTTTTTTAAAAACACACATTTGTTCGCCGCCCGGAGGTGCTGTTTTCCCCTTTGAGAACGCTCTTCTCCACCACGGCATTCGCAGCCAAAGTGCACCCTGTGTACTACTGCAAACAACTGCCAGTCATTCAAAAAGCTTCCTTCCGACTATCCCCCATCTACATCACCCCTTGATCCCAAATCAAGACTGGTTTCTTTCCCACGTATCGCTCCGAAACACCAACACAATTTTAGCCGCCAGACAGAACACCCGCACCTCTAGATCCAGATGATATCCTCATCGTCAACATCGCTAGTTCTGTTCTACATGGGCCAGACACAGCTGAAAGTGGCCAAGGCCCCAGACGAACATGTGGATTACGAATTTCAAGAAGAACAAAGCCTGCGGCGAGGCAGCACCTTTGATGTGCTTCCTTACGCTGGAGAGGAACAACTACACAGCAGAATGCAAGACCATGGTGGAACAGGCGGGCTCTTTTTGCTGCCTGTGGTCACCACAGACTCGGTTTTGCTGAAGGAGACGACCATGCTGCTGATGCTGGCGTCGCTGGTGACCAAGGACTTCACCTTGGTGGATCCTCAGGTTCACGAGGAAACAGAGTCAGAGCTGTTCTCGCCTTTGCTCTCTCTCCCCATGGAGATCTTGTACCAGATTGTGGAGATTGTCTACTACGACGAGACAACGTCGTCCATCCCTGCAAATCTCGAGAAGTTCCTGAAAACCATCCCCGTGCTCCTGAAAACCTTCAACCAGTTGGCCATGCGTTTCTTATACAAGTACGCCATCTTCACTCGGCCACACTCGTTCGACAAGTTCCTCCATAACATCTTGAATCAACCCGACCTCGGCATCTACGTGGAGTTCTTGGATTTCCAGACCTTCACCTCGATTGGTCTCGGCAGAACAGGCAGAATGAACCAGGAGATCCAGATGGTCACCTCCCAAACTATCGAATTGGCACTTCGTATGTGCCCCAATTTGATCGAATTCATGGCATCTGAGAACATCCAAGACGACATGGACGTGACGGTGTTGCTGATGCTCTTCAATAACCTCCCTAAGATCCAGGCCTTGGACTTCTGTGGAGCGTCCCTGAGAGCACTCGCCATGGCATTCAACGAGCTTGAAATCACCGGCTCAGATATGGCAGATTCTGACGCAATGTCTGACAGCGCTCTGACCATCTCCTTGAAGAAGGGCTCCTTGAGCAACCTCTTCAAAATATCCTTCCACGACTGCTCTAACTTGGCCCCATCTGTGTTTGAGAAACTCCTACCACACTTCACTCATTTACGCCGCCTTGATCTCAATCACACCTCCATCACTTCTAGCATTTTACTCTCGCATCTCCCGCATTCTTGTCGACTTACGCATCTTTCCCTAGCTCGGTGTTCCAAGCTCACAACCAAGGATTTGATCATATTCTTGGAAAAACACCCTGCCGTGGCCCTGGACTCCCTCGAGTGGCTCAACCTCCAAATTGACTCCAACGTGGTGTCGCCGCTCTCAGATGTCTATCTCCACTACGTCCTCAGCCATCTCCTGGCATCTAACTTGAAGTACCTCAACTTGGGTGGTCTTCCAGTTAATTCAAGGATCCTAAAGCTTATCAGATCGAAATTCGAGGCTTTGGAGAGTCTCACGATCTCCCATTCCACTGTTGATATTTCAGACTTGGAGAACTTCATGCATGAGAACGACCAGATCAAGTTCCTTGATCTCACTTCAATCAAGTCCTTGGATCGTTGGAAGCTCACCAACTTGCTCAAGACTTGCTACAGCACCAACCTTGAGGCCATTGAATTCGACTACAAGACCCTCTACGATGTCACTGGAGGTAACTACGTCAGGGTCGATGCTGTCCAGACTGACTTCAGAGTGCTTGGCGACCCACAGCTACCTCAAGTATGGAAGTTCTACGATAACGAAGGTCGCCGTGCATGGATTTACAAAATCGATTCGTCTGATCCGCTGTACGACTCGATCATCTCAGGCAACAAGCTGAACCAGAACTTTGCATCGAACTTGGTGTACTACGATTTGGAGACGGGTGCAAAGATCGAGACTAAGCTGACCAAGCCATCGTTTCTCAAATACGCATCCAGAAAGGTCAACTGCTCCATTGGTTATTACAACCTCAACAACACCAAGAAGAAGAAGTACGTCAAGGGCGAGTTGCACGAGCTGGTATGGCCTGTGGAGTTCAGTCAAAGAGGCATTTACAACTACTATTCCTTGAACGTGAAGTGATGGTGCTGTGGGGTCCAGAATGTCAATCTGAAGAGGGAATACGACAGGCAAGCTTCCACACGGAAAAATGAACTTTCCGCTGCACCGTCACTACAGCCACATTCAGAGCAAATCCCACGAAGATGCCGAGGAATCGAAAGCCCTTGGATCCGCAAACTGTACTATAATACCAAGGTTTCGATTGTTCGAGATGAAGGCAGCCCCTTCAGGTTACCAGACCTGATTATCAGCGCACTTGGGCCATTCAAGCACGCCACTTACCGCTATTTTGATAGCAAAAGTATCCAGCTCCAGCTAGCTAGGTACTCATTTAACGAAGCATATATTTCATGTAATTTAAATTTTAGTGGCAGTTGTAGTTTTTCAACGGTGGATATACCGATCGGTATATCCGAGGAAATGTGGGGAACAAAGATGCAGTGCACTCATACAAATACCAACCGATTCACACACTTTTTCACCAATGTTTGACGTGACAAAAATCAGAAACCCCATAGATACAAAAGCCATTGAGGCGTATTTGACAAACCTCCCTGCTTCAGCTATAAAAGGCACCGAAGTCCCCGAATTCCAGGCTCCCTTCAAGATCGAGCAATTCAGGTTCGGTCAATCCAACCCTACCTACTTGATCACCGACGGTGCTGGAAAGCATTACGTTTTAAGAAGAAAGCCATCCCCAAACAAGAAACTCGTTTCCAGATCAGCTCATGCTATCGAGCGTGAGTTCTACATTTTGGACGGTATCGCCAAATGCAACCGGTCGGTACCTGAGATAAGAAAGGTGCCAGTTCCAAAGGTCCATATCCTCTGTGAGGACGAATCCGTGACTGATGCTGTATTCTACGTCATGGAGTTCATCAACGGACGTCCTATCAAAAGACCAGACTTGCCAGGGATCCCAGATTCTCAGAAACAGAGCTACTGGGAGGCCCTCATGGTGACTATCTCCGCCATCCACTCTCTTGACGGCAACGAGCTTGTCAAGTACCTTCCAGCCAACCACTTCCCACAATTCCAGCCGGAGAAGCTCGCTAAAAACAAAGGTGGACCTAGCTACTTCCAGAGACAGATC